AATAATACAGAAAATCAAAACAATCAGATGAGCCCACAGTGGCAACAGTGGGAAGGAAAAACTCCCCTCTAAACAAGAAGAAACTTCTGGCAGAACCAGGGTCAGGTTTAATAATAACTAAGGATTAAATTCAAAGTAGTGTGTAAACACACAAAGACTGAGTGAGTGAAGAACACTGTGTGCAAGAAGCAAGAGGGAAGAGTAGTTTGACAGTATAATTTTATTATATCATTACATTTTGCTCATTTTTGGCATTCCACTAAGTAATGAAGGAAGGAAGGACAGGAAGGATTCTCACAATGTCAAGTCTATTTAGTTTATAAATTGTGCAGAAATAGAAATCAGGCTTGATTGAGGTTCAAGGTAAAAGCTTTATATTAACCATGGGGCCACAACTAGCTGCTTAAAGCGGGATTGACATGCTTTTTACCAGATTACAACACTTTCTTTTACTTTATTATCAGTCTTCAATGCGGTATGTGCACATTTTTTTTTAAATTGTTAAATTCTAACACTTCAAAACACTTCATAATTACTTATGTCATAATTACCACAAAATGTATTTACATCATTCTCAACAGAGAGGCTAAGAATTACCCTTTAAAAAGTGCGTGAGGTGTTAACTTGTGTACAGTGTTACAGATAGGCAGTCACGCTCATGTTCTCACGGTGCAATCGTGTATTAATTACATCTTTATGTATTCAAGTTACTGAAAAAGAAAACAAAGCTCACTTCCTTTACCCAATAACCATAGGTAAACTGTTGTGTATAACAGGTATCACATGCCCATCTTTGTGCGTCCCAAAAACCAGTAAACCAGCATTTTCTTACATTTTCCTCCCCCCTCAGTCATGTAAAGGTTTCCGCTGCAATGTCAAAACCTGCTCAGTTCTAGTAGAACATTCCGTTTCCACTATAGACACGTCCTTCCCCACCAACAGCAAATTGTATTACACTTGTTAATTATTAAACATCAATATGACTAAAGGGTCTTTTCTTTTAGTGTTAGGTAGCTGCGGTAAAACAGTGTAAACATTTGGCATTTAACTTCAAACTGTCTCCTAGTATGCATCTTTTCCACAATATTGATTCCATTGGGGTCTATTTGCCTCCTTGTCTGTGTCTTTGTATATTAAAAAATAAACCCCTAGGGTCACACTGCTACCAGGCTAGAGCTTGGAGACAAAGGGGAAACCTTCGTACATGTCGGCCTTGAGCTTGGCCCACTCGGCCAGTCGCTGCATGGTGCTCTTCTCCTGGCCCAGGACGCTAGCCGCCTTCCTCAGCTTGGCCTCGTTGCGCTCGAGGTAGCGCTCGCCCTCGCTCTTGAGGAAGTTCAGCTTCTCTACGCGGTTCTCATTCAACTGGATGTCCTCGCTCATGTAGGGGTTGAAACGGAAGTAGGTGTCCGGGGGCAGGAGAGCATCCAGCATGGTGTGTACTTCTGAAATAAGGATGGAGGGACATGTTTTTTGTTTTGTCCAATACTGGTTTTCATCACACCACCTCTAACCTTTAGTTTAGAAATAACTGCTTGTGGGATGTCAAACACCGATAAACAACATGTTGTGTGGTCCTACCCTCTGTATCTGTGGCACTGCTGATGACGTGAGCCAGTTTGGTCTTGAGGCTTGTGTAGGTTGTGCTATTCTTGCCCGC